AGCAAACACCAATACTAAACACTATTGCTGTTTTGATGCTATTTTGAATTGGGACAAAAAATCTCTTCTTTCGTGTTTTGGCTTCTCCAGTGTAAGCACAACACAGAAAAAACAGTGGAATCTTCTCCATAAAAATATGTGGCTCAGTTAAAATAGCTCCTAATCATTCATCTCCAGGGATACACGTCCAAGAGCACAGGGAAGTGGTATCTTTTCAGTAAGGAAAACAAGTTTAAATGTTTTTTCCATGTTTTTTTCCCCCTAAGCATTTCCTCAATACCTCAAGTACTAGCTATTCTTATACCTTTCCCAGACCACAAAAAAAAAAGGAGGGGGGGCAGGGGGGGGCAAAATAAAAGCCAAACAAAATACAAGAGGAATTGCCAGGAATGAGGAGTGCAATCTTATTTCCATGTTTCTCTAATAGATTAGTAATTTGTTGGCAGTGGCTTTGACAGAAAACAGATGGATGCAGCATTAAACACAATGAATGCAGCAGATGCTAGGCCAGCCCACATCAGCTGGACGTGTCAGGCAGCCAAGTCCAAGAGCCCACACTTTTCAAGTGGGTACAAGCCTGGCAACAGCGGCTCTACAATACTACTGAACAACTCCTCCCCTCCATATCTGAGGAATTTTTGATTCCAACTCCCCCTCAGGAGAGTATAATTGTACCCAGAGAGACACCACCTCAAATGCACGAGAAAAACCAAAGCAGTAAATGGAATCAGGAAGAAAGAAAAAAAAAGTAATGAAGATAAAATATAAAAAAGCCTACTAACAACCTGCCAAAGACAGATGTTCATACTTACTGCTGAAACTCTGGTCCACTTTGTCCAGGTTTGCTGAACAAAGTGCTCTGATATCTTGCCATTTCTAGGCAAGCTGAAAACAGGGAAATTTGAGAACTACCTGTTCCTTTTGCTCTCTGCTTTAGAGACATAGGTCAGATTCACAGTATTAAAAATAGTATCTTAAAACCGTTTTAGAATTTTTCACATGTGCACTTAACCATCCGTTTTTTCTGCTACAAACGACTTAAAGCTATCGTTCTGAATTTCTCTGAAACCATTTTACCTAGGGGACTCAGTAGATACAGTTGGTATTTAAATCTTAACTCCACAGGCTGCTGAGTATGTGGGTCTGGATTCAGAGGTCCAGACTCTCGAGATACTTAGGGCATCTCATCCTTAAGATGCTACCACTTTAATTAAAATCTAGGATTAAAATCAGTGGGAGCTAGATAGCAAAGAGCTTTTGTGAAATGAGCCCAACATTAAAGGTTACAAAGCAGAAATACTCAATTCATATTACTTGACCACGAACAAAAGGGGGTTTATCTTACTGTGAAGTTGTGGGGTTGTAGTTCAGACATATTCAGTAGTGACTTCTCTCTCTGTTATACCCAAACAGAACAGTTTTACTGCTGAAATGAGTAGGAGAAGTTAGGAAGATGGGATGCATTTCCAATACGTTTTACTGATCCACAGGAAGTTCTCTGCCCCAGTCTTATAAGACCCAACTGACTACAGCATCTGACTGCTCTCCAGAGTGCATTTAAGGGACATTTTGCTGTGGCAGCAGTTTGATGCTCGGGTCATAGATGAGAGCTTCATTAGCCCCCGAGCTAGATGTTGTCCAAATACAAACCAAAGAGGCTGTTTCTTTCAGTAACAACTTCCATTCTTGCTCTGTTTTTTATTCTTGGGGACAGGAAAATGCTCTGTTTTAATACCAAATTAGAACTAATGTTCTGTACTGCATGCTCTGTGTTGTATCACAGGCACACAGAAGCGCGGAGCCAAAGCCATTTTTTATTTTTGTAGGCAATGGTTTCACAGGATTGGACTAGGTCTTCAGTACCAAACTGCTTCCTGGGAAAATATATTCTACTCTTATTATAGACCTAAGTGTCATGTAAACACATGAAAACCAAATAAATCAACCATATGCATGAAATTGATCATTCTGCTCTCATGAACTAGGGGCTAATTCCTCCAACCCAAACTTACTGGTGTAGTCTTTACTATGGTAAGCAATTCCACTGCAGAGAAAGGACACTAGCCTTGAGCAACGGTTTTCAGGACAGCACATCGTGAAATGTAGCATTCAAACTAAAAGCTTAATGTCACAGAATGCTTTGACGCCTATATAAAAATACAAGCAGTCCTGTCAAACTCAGCCTATGCTTAACAGTATTCCGGAGGAAGGCCTATGTAAACACAACATGGAAAGCAAGTAAAAACCTTGAGAATTATTGTAGTTTAATTATTTAAGAACTCGGTTGCAACCCAGGTAATTTTTAATATATTTGTTATTTTGGCAATAAAAGGCAAATGGGGTAACATTATTATATACTCATCATTGCTGGCATACAACTGTGGTTTGTAAGAGGGTATGTTAAGAGGTGCAATTACAGATTACTTTCATTAAAAATGAAAAATGCTATTAAAAACTTAAATCCAGGTAAATACATGACTTTGAAATATCACCACCTCCATCCCCGGATTTTATTAATGGTCACATTAGCCTGGTGAAAATGTGGCGTTCTTCTGCCCTATTTGTTACCTGTAGAGCTGAAAGTCTGCAGGGCCCTAATTTTATGATGACCAGTGGATGGGATCACCGGTACTCTCCAAAAGCTGCAGAAGAACACGCTTTTCATCCATCACACTATTAACCAGACCCTTCTGAAATGGCCTGTTAATGACAATGATGCTCATTTTCTTCCTGCCCCTCAAGTTCACTTTTTAATAGCCGTTTCTTCCTGCCCGCGACCCATAAAATCATTACATAGGCACTTTCATCTACAGAGGGAGGAAAAGAACTGATGAACCCAAGCAAAAAAGAACGTAGTATTCGGCGTGTTACTTAAATGCATTGATTTAGTACAAAAACCTCTCCATTCAATCAGTGTGGATGGCTAATGTTTTACTGCACTTGACACCCACTATTCCCATGGTTCGGAATCTCAGCAGCAGCAGTACAGCTGGAAGTCAGGATAGCACATCATAAATCCACTGGATTTTTACCAGTTAAGCTAGTTGCTCACTGTGCAGATAAAAATAAGCACTTGGACAGCATTTTATGGCCACAAAATGCTTTCCAAATAAAAGGAAAGCACCAGCCAACTGCAGTAAGGTAATTAATCTTCACACATGGCTATAAGGCATTACTAGCCCCATTTTACGGTTAAGGAAAGCGAAGCAGAGAAATGAATCTACTTGCCTAAGTTGAAAGATGGTGTAAAAGGCAGAGCCAAAATTAGAAACTGGGAAATCTTGGCTTGTAGCCCTGTGCTCAGAACACTACAACAAATGTGACCCAGAGACGAAACAGAAAGGAACATCGCAGGGCAGGAAGGCTCCCTGCAAACAAACATCAGAACTAGTTCTCAGAAACTCCAGAGACTAAAATAACCATCCTTGCTAGCACAGGCAAGCCACCGAGTCCGCCCTTATAGAATTTCTCATCACTGGCTCCAGTCCTTTTTGAGGACTTTAAGTAAGAAAGCAATAGTAGGAAGTGCTGAAATAAAGCTTCTTTATGTACCCCTAAAGAAAATTCTGCCCTTATATATTCTGTGGCTTGACTTCAACTTCATTAAACCCCTGAAGAGATGCATACTTCATAAAGGTTATCCATTAAAGGCAAAACAATAGACAAGTTCAAGGTTGTCCAGGGGCAGAAATTGTGTATTCCATTTTTGTTTTAGTCCTCCAACAATTCTGTCAAACAAGCAAAATAAAAGGAACTGTCTCTCGCAGTCTGAAGGGTTAGTTAAGATTCACAAACCGTATGCATTAGAGCTCAATATTATATTCCCACAGTAGCCGCTGTATTATTATGCTCGTTAGAAGACTTTAACCCTCACAGTCACCACACAATTTAAGATTGGCCTTGAGATTCCATCTAAAAATAGAAGTCCTATTTTGGGATCTGTGTTGAGACCCTTACTCCACGCTCGGTCAACCGTGGCCTCATTGCAGAGATGACATGCTTGGGCTCCTAAACAATGGCCTTGGCAATGCAACAGATTCATCATTTCCTTGCCCAATTTAAGGTCACTATTTTTATACAGAGAAAGGTGCTAATAACAGAAGCAGCTTCTTCCACAAGGTGCAGCTCCACCTCTGAATGACAGTTTTGTTTGCTTTGTTTTTTTTCAGGGAGGGGGGAGGGTGTTTTGTGTGTTTGGGTTTTTTTCTGTTCTGTTTTGAAGAAATCACATACCTACCTACATACACTATATATATATTTTACAAATATATATATAAAAATTATCATATGTATTACCAGCAAGCATTTTACCTTGTGGTGCATACTGGCTCATCTGAGGCCCATAAGTACCACTTGAATTACTCTGCTGAAAGCTACCGATTCCAGGGTGCACCTGGCCTCCAGGTGAGGGGTGTGGTGACATGGAAGGTCCAGTTTGCTGAGGTCCATACTGTGACATTTGAGGGTTCCTCTGTATGCCTGCCATAAAACCTAAAGGGAAAAAAGTGCCAAAGCAAAAATTATTATTCAGGTAACTGTTCTTTATTTAAGATTTCTTTGACATTAAAAAAAACCCAACCCTCTTTAGTTAATCTTTAGGTAAAAAAAAATAAAGGCAATTATCTGCATTACCTAATAAGTAGTAGGGAATTTGCCTGATGACTTATGGGGTGAGTACTGTAACTTCCAAAATTATATGTTGCTACCAAAACGTGTAACTTCAGCATATAGAAATCCACTGTAAATACTCCCATTGTGCACAAACTCTCAGGAGCTAAAATTTCCCTTTATGTGAAGACTAGTCGTACCAGCCACAGAAAAGAGCTGTTTTGGTGTGTATTTGTGCTCTAGGTCCTTCTTCTAGTCTGTCCCCAGCACACCTGTATTGTGTTCTCTTCTTTTTCCCCTTTCGTGAATGTATTAATGAATCCTAATTTAATTTAAGCTTCAAAAGCTACAGCGAGAGACCTAGTGAAACGCCATAAAATCTAGAAGCTTCATATAAAGGAACAGAGCTAAGCTTATGAAACGGGAGAAGAAGAGGGGTTTGTAGCATTTTTTTTTTTAAGTTTTCATGATACATTGGGAAAAATCCTGCAATCCCTGCCCATGAAATGTCTATGAAGGGATGCTGGTACCCTGAAAGGTTTCTGTGCTGCTTTCAATGTTGAAGAGGATGTGCTGAGGAGCCAGCAAGGTCTGGTTTCTGGAGGAAATTAACTTTCTTTACTCTTCTACTTGCATATCAAATTTCACCTTCCCATTCCTCTGAGGCAAAACACCAGCATATGGAAGGACAGCGCTTGCTCTGCTGCCGCCAGCGGCCAGCGAGGCCGATGGGGGTTTTTTGGGGGGAGCCCCCCCCTGCCTCTGCCTGCTGGGCCAATGTGGACAAGCAAGTCTGCACTTCAGCCTGTCCTGCAACTAGTTCAGGCACCCGCGCTTTGAGGCCGCAGAGAGCTGAAGCATTGTTTATGAAAGGTGCCCATTTTCTCTCCCCCCCGTTAATTTTAGTGGCGTGGGTGTGGGGCGGTGTGAAGCTGAAAGCCAAGCGACACCTCACCTGGCAGCATTAATGATGCCTTTCCTTACATGGGGGAGGGAATAGAAGAAAGGTAAGAGCAAAACCCCCTGACAGTGAGTGGACAACTGGAAGCTGCTGAAGGGAAGATCAGAAAAAGAAAAAAAGAGAGAAAGGGAGAGAGGGGCAAAGACAAGTTGTGCAGATAGAAGAGGGTGACAGACGGAGGGAGAGATGGCAGGGTGAGAGGTGACACCCCAAAGGGCTGGGGTGTCCCTCCCACTGGTTAGCATCAACTGTCACACAGACCAAACACTCAACACCTGATTAACGAAGAGAGGTAATTTTTTCTGAGCCACATACAGACACATGAGCAAACTTAACTGAAAACATTGAGGCGCTACGGTTCCCACGACCAGGGGGCTCCGGGGTCTCTCTGCGGGGACCACAGCCCCAGCAAGCATGTCCTGAACTCAGAAAAGTAAGTTTCTCATCCTCGCGCTGCTGTTACTGACACAGTAGGTGACACTGGCTGAAGGACCTTCCTGCCCTTCTGTGGTCAGCCTCTCTGTCTGTACACTGGTGACAAAGCGCTGTACGAAAGGGGACAGTATCTGCGTTGTAGAAAGGAAAGGTGGTGTGCACTTTACCAGAGATCATGCTTTGAGTTCAAACACATCTGACCAGTTTTTGAGTCCTCCACAAACCTTTGCCATACAGCATACTTCTCCATCCGCTAAAACCCCGTCAGAGAGACAACAAGCTCGATGTCACAGGTCATAATGAAAAAAAACCAGAAGCTGAGATGATCTTGCACCCCCTTGTGCCCAGTCCTTTCATGCTACGAACAGCTCAACCCGTAACATGCTAAAACGCTAACAAGTGCAAGAATATGCACAGAGTTTTCCTGATCTTTGTGCAAGCCCCAAGACAAGGGATTTGATCACACCTGAACTGCCTGGCACCCGCTCTGCAGGAAGTCGGACGACACGCACTGGCACACAGCATGGCAAATAACCAAGGGCGAAACGGTGGCTTGGAAACTGGTCTGTACTGGTTGGAAAACTCCACACTTCTGCAAAGCAAAGCTCACGCAACCTTCTCCACTTAGCTTTATTTTGAAACAGACCCCTCTATTTTTAAAATCGTTCCACCCTGCGCACAAATCTTATTACAAAGCCTATGCCTTCTGCCGACAGTGCTGTAACTAATTTAGAAACCTAATACAATCGTATGTCTGTATGAAATAAATGCTCACATTCCCGACACGCATACACCATATATATCGCACTTGTGGGATCCATTTAAATGAAAAATTTTGTACTGGTCACACTAAGATTTTTATTATAAAGATAGTAAAGTTACTCCTGTATCTAGTACAGAAGTGAGGGTTTTCTGTTCAATGTGGGCCTTTTAATCTACACAAGATAACTTTCCAAACATTGTGCTAAGGATAAAGGTTTTTCAGCCCAGTTATTATCGCAGGCAGTACTTTTCCTAATACCGCAAGGATGGATGACACATTGAAAATCTATTGTTTGTACAGGTTGTAGTAATTTCCAGTAGTGATGCAGAGTCTGCTGGTTGTTGAATCTAATGGAGAACATGGACTAATGGCTAATGGAGAACATGGAGAACATCAGTTTTAGCCAGCTCAGCTGTCATCAGAAGGGCTCCTGAAGGGACCAGAGTAATATGTGAAATAAATGTTTCCACTCAAATGACCTCTTCTTCAGGAAACTTCTCCTAATCTTTTTCTGATGCTGTGGAGTGGACTGCGTGGCTACGTGTACAGTCATAAATAAAGCATGCCAGGACCATTCCCTGGCCTGGAGAGTGGAGTGTCATGCTCATGTCCACCCAGCTAAACTTTCACACTCAGTCCTGGTAGTCTTATCTGCACGACTTCTGTGCACAGTCTCTTGTGCGGCCTCATCCATGCCCTGGGCTGTGGCTCAGAGAGTGCTTACAGGCATCGGCCAAAACCATGCTGTGGGGCATGCCAGTACTTCAACAGCAGAGATAACTCTGTAATACTACTCAAACTCATGCTCTGGTCTTAGTTTACAGAGATGCTGATTGACACAAACAGAACAGAACAGACTCCTGATGTGAGGCATGAGTTTCATCATCCCAGAGGGTCCAAGATCCCTCGCAAATGAGGTTGGCTTTGCTATCTTCTCTTGAGCATGGACAAGTAAGGAACTAAGGAAAAGAGAGCCCGAAATTCAGGAAGAATAGCTGTGCTGTATTATCTTCTATCACTGTCTGCATACTGCGTTGAAGCATGGCCTTAAAATAGGACATGCTCCAACTTCCTCCCAGAGAGCAGATGAGTCATTTCAGCTATAGACGTGATGTGGAGAAGAAGGTAAGATCACATCTTTACTGTGATCTGGACTCCATTACAACAAAGAGTTTATCCTCATCTACCTTTGTGAGACCCCAGTGATTGTTCAGAGATCAGTGCATGAGTTTGAAGTGTTTCAAATACCTGCAGAAAGCTCAGATGTCTTGGAGAGAAAAGGGTTCCTGGTCAAGGCATTAACATTCTTGCATCACAAAGAGAAAACAACATCAATTCTAGAAATCTTATCAGAAATGAAAGGGAGCAGCTGGCATACATTCATTTTTCCTTATTTACACACATTTTCCCTAGTGTTCAACTTCATTTTATAACCAATACAAAAAGAAATAAATTTTCTTTCCAGAAAATTAGATCTAAGATAAAGTTTGCTTTTGTAAAGAAGGGAAGTAGGATTACATTAGAGCTGCACTGGAGTAAAGGTGGTGGAATGATTAAACAGCCAGACTGCATCTGACACGTCAACCCCTGTGACGACAAGGTGAGGGTTTTTGTCTTTTAAATAAACTGCTAGGAAGCAGCTATGAGTTAAGACTTTAAAAATTGCAATGGCAACATGCTCATCAGTGAACAAATCTGCTCCCTTCACTTAATACTAGTGATAAAAGAGGTACAGATGATGCTTTACTTGCCACCACAACAAGAGATTACTTCCTGAAAAAACACTTGAGTGGATTTTGCCAAACTAAGCTATTTCAGGAGTAGCTGAATAAAGTGACCCTGCCAGAAGTATTCTCTTCCTTTTCAGTTATTTTTTATACTACATTTACATGCCTAAAGAATGGCTGTCTTTATTAGAACCCAATTTAAAGTTGTAGAGCCATCTTTACATTTTTTTAGTTCTAAATGGAACAGTAGCATACTATTAACAACCAGCACACCATAACTATAATAAAATATGTTTGCATGTTCAAATAGACCATACATAAAAGGTTTAAAAATGGTCAGGTAGCAGCATATTTTTCTTCTTTCTTTTTAGCAAAATATAGAGAAAAAGTACAAAATGGGTAATGCTTACGACAGCAGGCTTCTGCTCCTTTGATAAAAGAAAAGACAAAAATGAAGTTTCTGTTGTCCTATACAGTATGAATATCTGGTAATATACATCATATAGCTAATACCATTTATGATGCCTTTGTAAAAACATTTAAAATCTTGTTTTTCCTTCATGCATATGTACACAAAAAACCAGATAAACAACAGTAAATTACTAAAGCTTCATGAAATTATGCACTAAGGTTGTCTTAATCACATTTGTACACTGACGGATACAAAATCACTTACAAAATCATCTGTCTATTGAATACTATCTCCTTAGCATTAACCTTGAAAAACACCCACCCAATGTGCTGGGTGTTGCTGTAAAATCTGAAATGTATTCTTTTGATATTTTAAAGTCTTGGCTTGAATATGAAAAGACCTTTCCAGGAAAGCAGGAGTTCAAACACAAAGGAAGTGACTGCAGAGTAACAAGTTACTGCACATCAGCTGATGGACAGCAACTGTCTACTGGCACACACTTAACCCACAGTCAATGAGAGGTCTTTTGATTTAGCCAGGAGTAGTGCATCGATTTTCATGAGTGAATTAAACCTGAAAACACGT